TGTTTGAGCTTTCAAAAACTCAAGAATTTCTCTCAGTTACCCTCTGCCTTGTGCAATCCTACTTTTCAAACATCAAACTTCCTTCTCCTTTTTCCCTTCCCTGGGTTGATTTTTTTATCCTCTTCTTTCCTTCCATAATTGAAATAAATAAATAAATAAACATGTACATTTGCTCCAGCTTCATGGGTCTGACATTTTGCCATTTCTACTCATTACCTAAAGTTTTTGCCTTTCATTCAAACCAACAACCTCATGAAATGCATTTGTCAAGGGATGCTCCATCCCAAGGACAGCTAGAAACCAGTGTCATTTTCCAGAATTAAACCACGCTGTCACCTAACCGTCAAAATTTTAAAAATCTGTTTCTGTTAGAAAAGAAGTCTTGAAAATGTGTGAACTGAAACGGTGCATGACCGTAACCTCATGGGGCACACGGTTCTGTAGAAAGTGAGTGGGAACAAACTGGAAATAACAGGACAGGCACAAGGACGGGGGCTGGGGAGATACGAGAGCTCTCTCCGAGGAGGACACAATCGTGAGGCAGCAGACCTCTGTTAACACACGACACTTGCAGTGAGATTGCATTATCTCTCATGCCCTCCTACTGGCCACCACCCATCAGAGCATAATCCTCCACAGCCTCTGTGTGAGCACATCCTCCAAAGAAAGAGATGCCATGGTAACCCCAGGACTCCACTCTTCTCAGGTGATACACCCTACAGCTTTGCCCCAAACAAGACCTCCAACCTCAGTGACACTGGACAGACCTGCTATGGTATAAAGATCTTTCCAAAATTTACACATTGAATTTGCTCCCCATCCCCTGTCAAGGTGAAGTACAGGAAGTAGCTATTTGGAAAACTACTAAGGCATGGAGGCAGAACCTCCTAGAAGGTGCCATCTGAGCAAACCTCACTGGTACCCTTTGTGCCAACCCCCTAGCCTCCGGATAGGCCCCCCTTCTTTATAAACAACCAGTATTCTGCTTTGGCAACATTCTGTAAAATAAACTCCTTAGCATTTTATTATCTTCAGTGTGAAAAATACCAGCAAGGATGTCATATATGTCATATCCTTGCCCGTGTTCCAAAAAAGCATAGATCCAGCTGGTGGGTAATGGTGCATATATTTAATCCCAGCACTCAGGAGGCAGAGGCAGGTGTATCTCTGCGACTTTGAGGCCAGTCTGGTCTACAAGAGCTAGTTCCAGGTCAGGCTCCAAAGAGAAACCCTGTCTCAAAAAACTGAAAGAAAAAAAAAGAAAGAAAGAAAAAGAAAAAGAAAGGATAGATCCAAATTAGGAAAACAAAAATCAGTCTTAGTTCCTCTTTTCTCAGAAAGGGAAATAGAGCTCTGGAGAGAAGTGGTGATGTCCTAGAAACCACTGAGTTGTCTACAACTGAGTCAGACTAAAAGCCCAGATCTCTCAGCTAGCGTCCAGTTCTTCAGGGCAGGATCAGAGAGGTTGGTGGTGGAGGACAGGCCTGGTAGTGCGTATCTGTAATCCCAGCACACTGAGGCAGGAGGATCTGGTGTTTGAGGACACATGCATTACAAGTTTACAATCAGCTCAGACTGCATATCTGTCTGAGGAGAAAAAGTAACTTTCTGGGTACAGGTAACTTATGCCCCTTCTTGCATCCCCTTCACCGGCCATGCATAAGAATTCTGAGCACCTCTCCTGGGATCCATGTTAGAAACCTAATTCCCAGTCATTCGCTAATGGGACCTTTAGGAAGCAATGAAACTTAAGGAAGGTCACTGCTAGGTGCCACCCCACCACATCCTGGTTCAGTGAGAGAACACCCTTTTATCTCCATTTTCACTCATTTGGCCTCATGTGAAAATAAATCTTTTGCTTCCGGGTGGGTCACGGGGGGGGGGGGGGGGGGGGGATTTGAAAGCCATTCCTACTGCACTTGCCTGTGCTGTTTAGACAAAAATATCAGAGAAGAGGAAAAGTAAAATATAGTGCTTTTCTGAAGAAAGCAAGCAGGAAGTACATAGCATTAAATGTAACATAATTAAAAGAGAAATGGGAATTTTCAGGCAAGCCCACAAAATCCCTCAACGTCAACTCGGACGTTTGGGTTCATGATTGACTATGACGTCATTATACAAACCCCCAAAAAAGGAAACTGGTGGCAAAAAACTCTATCTACACTTGGAGTTATGTCTTTAAAGTGAGATAGAGTTAGGAATGTCTCCGTTTTATTTTTTTCTGGTTCTTGAGCATCTGCAGGCTCCTCAGAACAGAAGGGTCTCTACAACCTCAGGGCTTACCTTCACTGAGCTTGTTTCGGGTGCAACTCGGAAAAGTAGAACATTGCTTGTCTGTGTGCTTCAAAGATAATGTCGGTGGTCTTTACGCACACGCACGCACACGCAGGCACGCACATACGCAAACGCATGCATGCACGCACACCCGCGCACGCGCGCACACATGCAAGCCTCCCATGCTGGACCCCAGCTAACAGACAGGTTTTATGTTGCCTGTTTATTTTTTTTTTTTCTTAGCGAAATTGTGTCTCTCTATTTGAAGTTGAAAGATTTCCTCTTAGAACCTGACTTCCTGGCAGCCTGTGCAAAGTCCTGGGAGGACGAGAGGTCGGGTCAGAGCAGGAAAGCAATGTGCACAGAGCGTGACTGTGGCTGAAGACCTTGGTTCCACACCTTGCACACCAACAACTCAAGCACACCCACCTTTCACGCTTCGGAGCCCTGTGAAATGAAAGAGGTGTGTATCCCTAAAAATGGCTCGCAAATTTAAGAAGATTCTGCCTCTCTTTTGCATCATTTCAGCAATGCCCAACTCATGCATTTCCCAGTTGTGTGTGGAGTTCTCGGCAGCAATAACACACACTAGGAGATTCTTGGAATGCAAGAACAAGCCTAAAGCTTGTTTTCAAATGTAAGGAGAGTTCTGAAAATAGTCAAAGAAGTAACTAGTGAAGACAAATAATAAGTCGGTTTTCCCGACTTTCTTGAGAATAAAAACTTAACTCAGACTTTGTACACACATATTTTACCTGCCTTGAGTTAAGTCTGTCTGTGCCTGCTCATCCCTCATTCCACATTAAACTTCACTTACTTATCAGCTACAATACCGGTCCTTAAGCTGTGATGGATAGAAGAGTCCTCTAGAGAGCATATTAAAAATCAGACTGCGGACCCCGCCCTCCAGTTTCCCTGTGATGCTCAGCTACATGTCTGAGGACCATACTCTGAGAGCTGCCCTACACCACAGGGCGGGGCCCTGCTTATAAATGATGACACTCTCTGCTTGCCATTGAGGTCAAGAGCTGTGAGCACGCCTTAGGGAAACTGCAGCTGTGTTGCCATTCTTAATGGCAGTTACTGATTTCTTAGTCCATCTCTAGCCACGCTAGGATAACAAAGAAAGCAGCAGAAGCACCTACTTCAATGAATAGCTAGCAACGCTGCATGAAAATCCTGCATCCGTGTATAAATGCCAGTCATGCTGGTATTGCTATTCTCAAATCAGTTCAAAGTCAGGGTCTTCCTTTCATTTCTCTCTTAGGACCCCACCAACATCATAAGCTGTGCCTCGTACATAACAGATGCAGAGTAAATGTTCCCTGAAGGAATAAACCAAGACACACATGAGTATATGACCAAATGGTATAGTAAACAGATTGAATAGGACAAGCAGACAGGGGTTACGTTTATAGAGGTCCTTTAAACGTGGCCCAAAGCCACATTAAAATGGATACTTCTCCACCAGAGTGTAAACTCAGAGGTGACTGGTAAAATATAGTAATTCCCCAGTCGGGTATTAATAGCCAGGCTTTTGGCACATTTACTCAATGTCTGGTATTATTCCCCGCCTGCACTGTGTCTATTAAGACCTAGGGTCCAGTCTCTGTTAATGTTAAACCTTGATAGAACAGTTAGCAAGCTGCATTTTATTGCTCTGATGCAGAACTTAAAAACAGCGACTTAATGTGCACAGAGGTATTTTTCTTTCGGGAAAGGAAAGAAGGAAGAAAGAAAGGGCGGCAGGCAGGGAGGGAGGGACCGAGGGGAGAAGGGAGGGAGGGGGAGGGAAATCTTAAAGCAGACAGGTCAGGACTTGGTGCAGGCATGACTCAGCAAATTTACAAGGCCTGAGATTCCCTCTACCTCTGTGCGTCAAGCTCAGTGTAGGATTTATCTGAAAATTGCCTCAGAATGCTGCAAGACTACACAGAGTGCTGCCCTCCAGTCTGTCGTCTGTTCTGCAGCCACTCAGGGAAACTGAGCACCAAGGACAACATTGCCTCCCTCTGCCCGCCCTCCCTTCTAAGAAGCCTTCCTGGAAGCCTGCAGAACACTCTAATCAGCCAGAGCCTGGTCACAAGGCCACACCCGGCTCAAGGGAAATGTGAACTGGCATTGAGCTGAACACAGGGCCACCCCAGAAATCGGCTTCTGCTAGTCGGAAAGAAGGGAGAAAATTGGCTGTGTCTCTGGGCGCTCTGGCCCAGCTCACAGGCGCGTTCTCCCGGTGAACAACGGACCACAAGTTATATTTGCTAAGCCAGCTTCAGCTTCTGTGAGTGTACATTTCACTCCTCCGTTTTTCCTATCACATCCTCTGTTGGGGGAAAACATGAAATTTCAGCTCAGCTCAGCTTTGGAGAAAGCAGCTGGGCCGGCAGCAGGGCCACACGGTGCGCAGATGCTCGGTGTAAAATTGGATCTCGCATGCTGTGACGATGCTGGCGGTTAGGATAAAAATAAACATCTCCCCACACTCTCGGCGTGGTGATTATAGTATTCAGCCCTCAGAGCAAGAGGGCGGCCGGCACCAGCAGAGCAGATTGAGCGCGGGGTAACACCTCCTTCAAGGGACTGCAGTGGGATGCTCTCTCCTGCTCTTTTTTCTTTTCCAGCCTCGCACCATCCATCCTGCAACAGCGCTGTCATTTTACCTAGTTTTCCCAGGCTAAATTGTAAGGTGCCTGGATGCGAACCTCCAGCGACAGCTTTCCCCCAGGGGCATGCTCCAAGCCACCCGCTAACCTGGATCTGCTCTCCCTCCGATCCCAGAGACTCAGAATCAGACAAAAACTCCTTTACAAAAAAGCCTGGAAAGGACCCGAATTCCGAAGCGATAGGGTCTCTGTGTCCTTTGTGTCCCGTGGGCAGTTTCCCAGCAAGGTTTCAGGTTTCGCAGTTAGCTTTTGTAATTACAACAACAGAGAAAGATAGTCACCTTTAGAGTGAGAGGCAGAGTACCCTATTCCTGGGCTGTTTGAAAACTGGTGGCCTTACTTGGAGGGGCACATTGCAGCCAGGGATTTTTGTGCAAAACTGGGTTCCGTGAGAGGCAGCCAGACAGCTCTTCTTCAGAGAGGGAGGACATTACACCTGTGTGAAACAGAGTCTTTCTCTCTCTCTCTCTTCCAATTCAGCTGGTGGACAAAGACACTGTTGAGTGAATTTACACGGGGAGCTTTAAGGGGCTGGGACAGATCGTGCAGGACAGTTTGTAGGGGTCAGGGATAAAAAGACACAGGCCATATAAACCATTGGGTGAATTAACTCGAGGTTAAACTGTTCTGTGATTCCTCTTTATGTAACTTGGTGGAGCAGAAGAAACTGGGGGGATTGGCTGTCTTAATCCAGCCACTGGACACCCTGGAAACTGCTGGCCCCTGTCAGTTACGCTTCCCTGGCGGAATAAATCAGGAGCTTTCTTCAGCTGGGAAGAGCTGGGTTTGTTTTTTTTTTTTTATTTATTTACTGTTTTTGTTTTTAGACAAGATCTGTGTTTCACAGTCTAACCTCAAATGCCTTTGGACTTCTGATCCTTCTGCCTCCAGCTTCTTGGGTGCTAGAATTACGGGCATGTGCCAGGAGACCCCGTAATTCCTGGGGGTCAAACTCAGAGCTTTGTGCATTCCAAGCAAGCCATCTGCCAACTGAGACAAATCCCCAGTCCTGGGAATAATGTAGCTCTTTACACTTGAGTTTTGCATATAATGATATCGTATCTAATAAATGCCAGTTTTAAAAAAAAATCACATCATAAAAAAAAAAAGAATAAAAAAAAGGTCACCCTTCAAAGTGAGCATCTGCAAGGAGAAAAACTATGCAGGGGTGGTTTTGATCAACCAGTGTTGATGGTTTCCTCTTTCTCATGTGGAGTGAACAGGATTGTGTAGAAGAGACAATGAATGAGGGGAATCCGGGACAGTCAGACACCTTAGTTGAGAAAAGACATGGAAAATGTGCTGTCAGCGTGGAGGAGACTGGTTGAAATGCCAGCAAGCAGGCAGAGTGCATTTAATCGTTTCTCTCTGCTCTTGGCTATGCATGTGATATGACCAGCTGCATGAGTCATATCATGCATGAGCCTTAACTTCCCTCAGTGATGGACTGTAACCTAGAATTATGAGACAGGCTCTCTCCCACCCTATGCTACTTTTATCAGGAAGTTTTATCATGATAACAGAACAGCGACCTTCTGTCCTAGGGACGACAGAAACAAGACTGTACCCATCACACTTGCTCACGCACAATAACATGATGGCTGCACAGGAAAAACAAGATGCTCCTGAACCCTGTCACTGTCTTTCCAAGTCTGTGCATTGCTCCTTCTAAAGAATCAATAACAGTAGAATGAAGGGAAATAATAATAATAATAAATAAGCAGATGAGGTAGGGGTGCAGGGGCAAAGAGGACCACCAAGGGGTTCAGAACAAACCACTCTAGATACAAAATTTCTTCATGATTCTTTGTTGTCTTGGGAATGCACACATTTGGGGCTTTTATTTTTCTGTATGTTTGTATTTGTTCAGTCTCAATCAAGTAATATGTGTGTATGTGTGTGTGTGCATGTGTATAATATTTGTTGTCTCGTTTTGCTTGTCACTCCGAAATATATTCGGCAGTGGTGGTGGGAGTGTGTCTGTGTGTGTATTTGTACATGTGTTAGCTGAAAAATAACTTTGATATCATTTCTCAGGCACCATATTTGGTTTTGAGTTATGGTCTCGCATCGGCCTGGAACTTACCAAATAGGCTATGCTGGCTGCCCAGAAGACCCCAGGCTCTGCTTGGCTGTGAGGCCTTCCCAGCACTGGGAATACAAGCATACACCACCATCCCGAGGTATTTTATGTGTGCTCTGTGGATTGAGATCAGGTCTTTAGGCTTCAAGGGATTAATTTACCAACTAAAATATCACCCCAGTCCAAGACCCCAGTTTTGAAAATGGAACTAAAGGTATTCTCAAGTGTTATGAAGACTAGAAAAAAAAAAAGAAATTTGGGAATGTGGTTAGGGACCCAGAAATCCTACATAGCATTATATTCTGTGCCCAGGACACAGTTATTAAGATATAGAATGTGACTAAGATACTCTCTACATAAATATAAGCAAGCCTGTATTACAGAATAGCATTTAAGTGTTTAACCTTCATCTCATTTTCTGTAGTCTACTTTGTAAGGACATGTGCACATCTGGAGCGAAAAGGCACAGTCCAAGAAAACTGGGGGTGGTTAAGATCCAAGAATAAAGTTATTGTCGTGGAGCACAAATGGGTGGTTCTTTGGAACAGCCTTTCCTTTACAGTATAATAATTCATTATTCACCAAGGGTAAAGTACAACGTTGCTGTTCTGGAATGCATTGCAGAGATGACTCCAAGAGTTGGTGTCTGCATGCTTCTAGCCATAAACGGTTACAGATGGGTTCTTAGGGGGTCTGTGGATTGCACGATGAAAAAAAAAGAAGAAATTACTTGCCTTGCCTTTTATTCTTTGTATAGTTGCAGGAGTTTGTAACTTACTAGTGCCTGAATCCTCTACAACAGACTTTGCCCTAAAGGGCTCTGTACTTAGATGGCACCTGATATTTGACCCAATCTCTAAGCAAAGGGAAGAGCTTAGTACATAGTCAGGTCATGTCTCACGTTTGGAAATAGCTAGCATGAGTCCCTGGTATTTCTCTCGCATTCCAATGCATGTTCTATTCCAATACATGTTCGACTCCATGCATGTTCCATCCCAGTATATGTTCTAGTTCATACATGTTCTATTCCATGCATATTTTCTTCTATGCATTGTTTCATTCCTATGCATGTTCCAGTCCATTATGTGCATGCTTTATTTCTTGCATCTTCCATTCTGTGCATGCACTAAATTAAATGCATGTTCATGCATCTTCTATTCCATGCATCTTCCATCCCATGACATGTTCTATCCAAGGCTTCATTTGATATGCCATCTAGGAAAAAGTGTCTTTCTAGCAAGAAATAAAAGCAGCCACGGAATCAAATATTCTCTCCAAACACCTACAACAGAGATGCCAATACTGGTACACTTGCACAAAAGATTTCTAGAAGTAAATTCAGACGTGAGTTAGCAGTAGATCTCAAACGGGTGCAGAACTGACCTTGTACCCACTTCAGACTGCTAAAGAGACAACATCCTTAAGCCATGGGAGGCGGCAGCTGAATTGGCAGTGAACTTCAAATGCTTGGCCTCAGTCTCTCCCAAGAGAAAAGCTACCCCGCCTTCCCTTCTCTTTCATCTCTTTATTCTGTCCTCTGAAAACATTGATTTTGGAGCCAGGGGATGGTTCCATGGGTACACTACCACAGCACAAGCAAAAAGACCTGAGCTTGGATCCCCAGAACTCACATAAAGCCGGACACTGGGGATGCTGAGATGGACAAGCGGGCAAAGGTACTTGCTACAAAGTCTGTCCTGAGTCTTGTCTCTAGGATGCACATGGGGAGGAAAAAAACCACTTCTGCAAGTTGTCCTCTGACTTCCATTCACAAACCGTGGCACGTCTGTAATGCTAGCTCTCCTACGACAAGGTAGCTAGGAGAATCCTCAGAAGCTTGTTGGCTAGTTACCTTGGCATACACCACAGTAAACAATAAGAGGCCTTGCTTCAAACAAGGCAGAAGTCAAGTACTAACATCCTGTATTCGGACATGCACACACAAATACACACATGAACATTCACACACACAATCACTAAATCACCTGCTCCAATGCTCCCATTCATTACTTCTCTCCTCCTTGGCTGGAATGGCCTCTGAATGCACCTGCCTGCCTCTCATGTTCTCACTCTGTCTACCATTCCCGTTGCCCCAGATCACAGACACATTCCAGATCTCCTCAGGTACTTCCCTGACCAAAGGTTTGGGAGGCTCCATTGCCTGCCAAGGAAAGTCCAAGAGCATCAGCATAACAACGCATCAGGCCTTCCATCAAAGGCAGTTCACGCTTTTGGGCGCCTCTGGAAGATCCCCACCCCATGCACCCCTGCCCAATGTCTCGTCACCCATTGACTTCTGCCCGCCTCGCAGAAGACAAGCCCCCCTTGTCTCTGCCTGCTTTGCTCATCTTCCTCTTTCAGGATTTACCCCAAACATTTCTCAGTGGAACCTCTTCCCAGTTCCACTCAGAGCACTCAACATCTCTACTTAGGTTGCATATTTTAATGATTACATTTTAACCATTTCTTCTCAGCCCCCAACAGCTCTCAGGGTATAAGAACTGGATCCTTCATTAGTCATGATATGTCCCTGTCTACCTTTCTTTGGAGAACCCTCTGGGAAGCTGCGAGCCTTTGTTTGACCTGACCGCTGGCTGTAGTACTGGACCTTCCATAGTCCAGTGGAACTAGGACACTTCGGAGTCAGGATTTGCACTGTGAACGTCATCTATGGGTCTGCTTCTGGAGAACCCAACAGAGGCACAGAGGCCAGGGCAAGAACGTCCCAAGGATGAGCCATGGGAATACTCTCCATCTAGGGCCCAAACGCTCCTCCACTTCCTGCACTATCACTTTACCAGGAAGTCCCTGGAGAAAACACACAGCGAGTGGTCCAGGCACCAAAGCATCCCCATCCCCTTCCATAATAAACACGCTTCCATACCATTATTCCCAGGGCCTGGGGCACCCATCTTGCCCTACGTTTTCCACTTAAAATTAAACACATGAAGTGTTTACTCCTTCAAAACTTTCCTATTTAATCCATCTGTTTCCTAACCCCATGTCATTACAAAAGTAAAGAATTCTGAATATAATATAGCAAGCTATTGGATTTTAATCCTACTTTAACAACAACAACAACCTGGAACCATTTCTATGGTCAAAATATAGCACCTACATACACAAAATGTTAAATTGGTAATAATGGATCTTACCAATATGGGATTAAGTGGTGATTACATTAATAAGATCTTACCAACTCAGGAAGCTAGTGACATCTACTGTGTGCTCATTAATAACAAATCCCCGAATATTCTCTTCTGGAGTTCTTCAGTGAATTTAACTCTCCTCTAAAGGTCCTGTATTTGCCTCTGATCCACCTCCTTCTCAACATCTTCTACCGCAGACATGAACAAAAGTCCAGGCATTGCAGAGTAACTATACTCAGCAAACATTCCCTGGGGTGAGCCATGCCACACTGGGATGCTCAAAGCACGTTACTGGGGAGTTTAAGGCTCATGAACAGCTGTGTGGGATCATCACACATTACAGCATTGCCTGTGTAAAATGCCATTGTGTTTTCTGGGTCAGAACAGTAGTCACATGGCCACGTCTCCAGCAGCCACTGGATGGACTTATATAACTGATCCAGACTGTCATGAGCACTTACGGAAACCGAACCTGGGGCTGTCTGATCAAAACTAAGGTTTTATTGACAAGGAGACAAGAGAACAGCCACTCTGTCCACAGCAATGTGCACAAGCATTGTGGTTTACTGTGTGCTCTATAGGAGGGGGGTGGAAGGACAACAGAATGGGGGTCATGCAAATACAGTATACGTATATGAAATTTTTAAAATGGTATTTTCAAAAATGGTAGACACTAGTAGAAGAACAAATGGACGTTGTTTACCTTTGGAGTCCTGTCTCTTGGCATATTAGATCACTTCTGCCAGGCCCTGAGAGGTGAGAAAACTCTGATCCATGCATCTACTTCCATGTCCACTTCCTCCCAATGACCCTACTCATTCTCCCAAATGCTTACCCTTCCTTCCCCGGGCCATGTTCTTGTGCCGTATCTCAGAGTCCTACATTGTATATCACCTCTCCACTTTCAGTAGGCAATGAGGGATTTAACATGAAGTTCCACATTCAATATCTCCCCAAACCCAAGGCAGCTCTTATTTACGATCCCTGCTCATTTCTGAGACCCTCTTGTGAGCCAGCTGATTACAGAAAACCCTACGAGTTCTCCCAAAATTAGATGACATATAGGATACAAATGAAGAAGAGATTGAACTATTAATACAAAACTCACAGCTCAAAACAAGCAAAAACCCCTTACTGTGCTGTGTGGGTCAAGGCTTGCCCTAAGTGCCGCATGCAAATGAAGCCACCTCAGGCTCTTAACCATCCAGCAAAAGGAAGCATTCACTCCCAGCAAACACATGCCCAGTCATTTTTATAGATAAGAAATCTGAAACTTCAAAGGGTGAGTAGTTTAAACTCACCCAGCTGGACCGTAACAGGTAGTATTTAAAGCTGGCCCTACCTCCCAAAGCTCGCCCACCACAATACTGCAGGAATCTGAGTCCGGCCTCTGATCTTCCAAGGTTTATTTCATACTTGACATCAGGACGCTAAGAATTGAATTTGTTCTCCATATAGCTCACAGTCAACCTGGCTGAAGAAGACAGAACTGGAAGTCAGTGAAAAGATATTTAACAAATTTCCTCTTGAGAGTAGGGAGCAAAGATGGTCCCTGTCAAACTTAGAAGGGGGACCCAGGGGAAGACACACCATTGGCATTTCCTCCCTTTGTCCCCTTCAGGCCACACACTAAATGTGACCCCATGAATTAAGACAATTGCCCATTTTGCCCATTTTAGATAGCTTGTACTTCAGAAATATCCTGATGAAGGGTTCTGCTGTAAACGTTGGAATCTTTAGCTCCCCATCAGACTAGAGTTCTCTGGAAGAGAGAGATTAAAAAGTCACTATGCTGTCTGAGGTTACCCCTGAAGGAAGTTTCCTGTCTCCGCTTGTCTCTTCAATGTCATTTTATTCTTGGAGCCTTCCCACAGCAGAGGCTGCCCGCAGGAAGATGCAGCTTAAAGCCTGTTTCTCGCATGCGTGTGCGCACGCGCATACACACACACACACTCACACACACACAAGAATTTCGAGGGAAAAGTGTGCAGAGCCCTTTCTTGCTTTGGCACACCTTTGTCTCTTGCTGCTATTGTTTGGCTATAGATACTTAGATTTTTAAACAGGGTCAACACATGACTGAATCCTTTCTCCAGACAGATTTCTCTTCCTGCAAGGAAAAGTTTTCAGAAAGCCAAACCAGCTGTCTAAGGATTCCTCTAAGCCTGCAACTCCCCGGGTCCAGCCTCCAGAAGAAAGCAGTTGTGTGCTCATCAATACAATGATTTAAACAACCTAAAGAATTAAAAGGAAATCAGTATGATGGTCTCAAAGACAGGGGCTTCTTGGGTGGCCTACAGGATTGTGTAAAAAAATATGGAAAATAATATAGTAATCTTTTCCATTTACTTTTACTCAGTCACTCACACACATACACACACACCATCACTACCACCACCACTATCACCACCACCACCACCATCACCACCACCACCCCCAGCAACTACAACTTCACAGTGTCATTTTAAAACTTTGTGTAGACTACAGAGAAACCCTGTCTCTAAAAACCAAAATAAAAACAACAAACCCCACAAAACTTGGTGTAGATTAAGCATCATGATGTATATATAAAGTAGTTCCATGCAAGTAAAGATCTGAAAGTCTTCCCAATTCTCAGCCCAAATTTCCTTAATGTGAGATGAATTTTTGATAGACTAGTGGATCGTCTGAGGTCCCTTTTCTGTAAAAACCAAACAAAATACTCATTTCTTCACCTCATTTCCTATGCTTTTTACAAGATCATCTTCTATGGTATCACCTGCATCCCTCGGTTCTAAAATTAGCACAAAGATCTGTAGCTATCTTGTACCAGTAGGCACAAAGGGAAAACAGATATTAGCCCAGCACTGGCCCAAGATTGGTGCTTTTAAAAAAAAAATTAATTTGAAAACTCAATCCAAAGTTTGACGGCTAGTACAATAGGAAACTTTCAGAATCTTCGCGACTTTAGGAAATTTCAAGGAAGCACCAGCCAGCTGTTACCAGAGACTGTGAATTAACAACACCTGCATAAGACCACTGGGCGCTCACCCACTCACAGTCTTGACCGTAGTTACGATGCGTGCAACCGCGGCTTATAAACAACCTGAGCTCTTAATGGCTATAAAATGTGTACAGATTTAGTTTTTAAGGTGCAGGAGAGAGAGAGGGAAGGAGGGAGTGCGAGGGAGAGAGAATCGAATCCAGGTCCTTGTAGATACTACACCACTGGGCCACAGCACAAAGTCATGGTCCTATCTGCAGATTTGGGTTCTGGTTTTTTTCTGTTTATGTTTGTTTTGTTCTGTTTAAGTATGGAACACATTGGGACTATTGAAGCAACTAAGTGAGCTGAATCTCTAGCAGGCTATAAGATTGCTATGAAGCCAGCACCTCGCTTTCTGAAACCACTAACTTGTGCTTTGATTGAGAGGCCTATTGCCATTTGTGATCCTATAATCTGTCTCCACAGCCACCTCAGCGTGCACTCTACAGTTGAAAGGCAATATCCCCCCACACACACCTTCTATGCGCATCCTACCTGTGGTGGTTGGTCCTGCTTTTCAGGTGGGTGGGATGTGGGTCACCTCGGAGATAAGCAGCTGGTGTGTCTGGGAGAAGTACATCTGAGATGGGATGACCCAGCATGACATGGACAGAATCGTCCCAGGGGCTTGAATTCCAGGTTGTAGGAAAGGGAGGAAGTGAGCCAAATACCAGCAGGCTGCTGTCTCTCCCCGCCGCCCCCCCCATTCTTGAGTACAGATGCCATGTGACCAGCTGCTCCACATATCTCCCCCCTCCCATGGACTGTGCCCCCAAACAGTGAGCCCAAACAAGCCGTCGCGCTCCCTTAGGTGGCTGTTGTAGGTTATTTTGGCACAGTAGTGCAGAAATTATTGTGCCACAGCTACCTCAAGCCGTACACCTCTCCATCCTTTCCAAAAGTGAGAACCACTGCACCCCCAGACTTTGTGGTTACAGAACAGAAGACAAAGTGGAAGTTTATAAAAAGGGACAAGAGGGAAGAGGAAAAGGGAAAAGAATCTTAGATTCTAGTTTAGGGAATCAGTATGGCAGGAAATGAGAGAGGGGGTGGTTTTAGTAATAAACCTGATATAATGGCAGCTCTCTTAAAAAAAAAAAAAACGGAGAGTCTGCTCATGTGTCCATCTCTAATGGGTTGATGAACCTCCCCAAATAGGTCCTCCCACCTTGGAATAGAGGCTGAGAGAAGAAACTTTGCTGTCTGTTCGCGTATGTGCAGTTCTCTGAGTTTTGCCTTTCAGCTGCCAGACAAGAGCCACATGAATGGAGGGATGTCCCAGCTGCATCAGGATACTCCTGCCACCAGTGCACATGGCTCTGACCCTGTCTGTGGTGGATCGCTGCCAAATCTCCAGAAGACAGACAGAAAGAAAAAGGGAGGGGGAAGGAAGTGGGGAAAGAGGAAAAGAAAGGAAGAAAAAGGAAGAGGGAGAGAGAGAGAGAGGATGGTGGAAGAGAGAAGGAAGAGAAGAAGGAGGGAGGGAAGGGAGACAGAGAGAGAGAGAAAGAGAGAGAGAGAGAGAAAAGAATCTGTTGACTTACTGAGTGTGAAGGAGGATTGTTGCAACAAAAACCCAACTCACCAGGTCCCTGGCCATAGACAGGAAAGAACCCAGACAAGTTCATCTCTCAATCAAGAGCAGTTTCCTCCAGGTCGTTGGATGCACAGACATCTACAAAGA